ATTTGCCTAATCTCTTGTCTCGCTATCTTCGCCTCTTCAGTGAGATTCATAATTTTCTCCACCGCTGATTCGCTCGCCTTCACAACCTCAGAAGCCATAAAAGAACGAGATCCGCCTAGTTTTTTTCGCTTTCAACCATATCCTGAATCAATGATATACTCAAACTTTAAAGTTATTGAAAACCACAAATTTAATGGTGACAGTGTACTGAGTCGAGGTTCTTTTTGGCGGCGGCTACGACAATAAGCAGAGATGGATAGAAATGAAGCACGAAAAGTGAACGTGCAAAATCTGACTTTTATTCGACTGCTTTAATTAGTTAATGTAATTCGTGTTGGACTTTAAGCCATTGGGCTTTAAAGTAGAAGAAGTGTGAATTGGAAATGGAGGGAAATAAAATGGAGGGAAATTGAAAATTTGAAGAAGTGAACTTTTATCTTGCACTTTGTCCCTCATTGGTGAGGGACAACCACATTTGTGTGCTTATATATAGAATCACTTCTTAAAGCTCTTAAAAGGAGTTGAAGAGAATGAACCCTCGCGCCGTCGTCGTCGCTCGCTCGGCTCGGCTTCGGCTTCGGCTTTTGGACAAAATTTATTTAATTATTTAATAATTAATTAAATGCCAATCACTGCTGAAGCAGGCAGCGTATTCTTCTGAAAAGGCACCTTTTCCTACCTTGGCAACGTGTAAGGGGGACTCGGAATATTTCTTAAACTCTTCTGTTTTTCTAGTTTCTTTTATTTTTCTAACAGTTTTGTCTGATTTTTGGTTTAACACAGTAACGCTCACAAGCTTAAGGAATTTTAATACTAACGTTTCTGTATTGAAACATATATTAAACTGTTATTCATATTTTGTATACTGTTTTGGAGACTAAAGCCTTGTTGCTTTCTACTCCAATAATTCTTTCTGTCCGGTTTAAAGTACATAAAAACTTTGCCGGAATAATAAACGTACGGGTTTGAAGTATATAAAAACTTCACCATTGTTACGTGTTGTATGTTTGGTTTGATATTCAGTTTGAAGATATCAAAACTTCACTGATTTAACAAAGTTCTGTATTGTTTTCAACTTTACAGAAATATGACGAATGAAAACCAAACTAATGGAAGTGTTGCGGGAATGGGTGCTACTGTCACGAGTGCTGCTGCCTCGTCAAGCCGTTCTACTCCTGCTCATGCTATGGCACCGGCAGAAAAACCCGGAAAGTTTTCCGGTATTGACTTCAAACGCTGGCAAACAAAGATGCTCTTCTATCTTACTACGTTGAGTTTGCAACGTTTCATCAAGGAGGATCCTCCGGTCATGGCTGAAAATACTCCGGATGATGAACGACTTGTTGTAACTGAAGCATGGAAACATTCTGATTTCCTGTGCAAAAATTACATTTTGAGTTGTTTGGAAGATGGCTTGTACAATGTCTATAGTGTCATGGAAACTTCAAAAATGTTATGGAATACGCTTGAGAAGAAGTACAAGACTGAGGATGCCGGACTTAAGAAATTCGTGGCTGCAAGGTTCTTGGATTTCAAGATGATTGACACTAGGTCGGCCATAACTCAAGTCCAAGAACTACAAGTCATTGTACATGACCTCCTTGCTGAAGGTATGACCCAAATCAATAATTGTATTAATAAGATTTATCTTATTATTAATAATGAATTTGTTATTGAAGGTATGGTCATAAATGAGGCCTTTCAAGTCGCTGCTTTCATTGAGAAGTTACCTCCGCTGTGGAAGGATTTTAAGAGCTATCTTAAACACAAACGGAAGGAAATGACACTAGAAGACTTGATTGTTCGTTTGAGGATAGAAGAGGACAACAAAAATGCTGAAAAGAAGTCACGTGGACACTCGACAATAATGGGGGCAAACATTGTTGAGGAGGCACCACAAATAAGAAGAGGAAGAAAGCTTCTGGACCAAAGAATTACCCAAGTAAGAAGAAGTTCAAGGGTAATTGCCACAAGTATGGAAAATCTGGGCATAAGGCAGTGGATTGTCGTGCGCCAAAGAATGATAAGAAGAAAAAGAATCAAGCCAACATGGTTGAAGATGAAATGGAAGACTTGTGTGCCATGTTGTCTGAATGCAACTTGGTAGGAAATCCAAAAGAATGGTGGATAGATTCTGGAGCCACCCGCCATGTTTGTGCTAACAAGGAGTTATTTTCTTCTTATGCCCCCGCAGGTCCCGACGAGACAATCTTCATGGGAAATTCATCTACGGCCAAAATTGAAGGAGTTGGCAAGATTGCGTTGAAGATGACGTCGGGAAAAATAGTGACTCTAAACCAAGTCCTCCATGTTCCAGAAATTCGCAAGAATCTTGTGTCTACCTCACTTCTTGTCAAGAATGGATTCAAATGTATTTTTGTTTCTAATAGTGTTGTACTAAGTAAGAACGATTTGTATGTAGGAAAAGGTTACCTAAATGAGGGCCTTTTTAAGCTAAATGTAATAGCGGTTCCTATCAATAAAGTGAATGCTTCTTCTTACTTGCTTGAGTCAAACACTTTATGGCATTCGCGTTTAGGTCACGTAAACTTCAAAACATTGCGAAAGATGATAAATCTAGAAGTATTGCCAAAATTTGATTGCATTAATTCCAAATGTCAAATATGTGTGGAATCAAAGTATGCTAAGCATCCTTATAAGTCCGTTAAAAGGAATTCAAGTCCTTTAGACTTAATTCACACAGATATTTGCGACATGAAGTCAACACCATCTCGCGGTGGGAAAAAGTATTTTAATACTTTTAATGACGATAGCACGA